CCTCTTGTCTTATCTGCCGCCTTTTTCACTGGACCATTGAAGACGTCGTCTTTTCTTCCTCTACTTCGCGGTGAGATGATCTCTCCCTTCAACAAATATTTGTGGAACTCAATTTGAGGGGTTAGTTCTTGGGTAACAAATAAGCCTATTTTATATTTTAGACCTCTTATCTAGCGGCTTGGAGAGCTGGTGTGTGTGTGTGTGTGTGTGTGTGTGTGTGTGTGTGTGTGTGTGTGTGTGTGCGGTCATGATCCTGCCCAGCAGTGTAGACTGATTGGATGGGAGGGTTTTGTGTCACTGTTTGTTCTGGTTAATGAGCGGAAGGAAGGTGAGCCAATACAATACACACACTGTGTCAACAGAGGGACACTGTCAGGGCCGCGTGTGTGTGTGTGTGTGTGTGTGTGTGTGTGTGTGTGTGTGTGTGTGTGTGTGTGTGTGTGTGTGTGTGTGCGCTTTAAGCCTCATATCCCTCCTCGAGCTGATTAGTAGTCGGGTCTTTAAGTAAACAGGCGGCTAACCAGCGGAGGAATCTAACCTGTGGACGGAAGGAATTCTCCATCCATCACTGACGGAGCGTTGAGATGGATCCGTTTCACACGCAGTAAAAACCTTCTCCAGAGCGCTGCTGCAGAGTAATGTTTCCGCTGCAGAGTAATGTTTCTGCTGCAGAGTAATGTTGCTGCAGAGTAAAGTTTCTGCTGCAGAGTAATGTTTCTGCTGCAGAGTAATGTTTCTGCTGCAGAGTAATGTTTCTGCTGCAGAGTAATGTTGCTGCAGAGTAAAGTTGCTGCAGAGTAATGTTGCTGCAGAGTAAAGCTGCTGCAGAGTAAAGTTGCTGCAGAGTAAAGTTGCTGCAGAGTAAAGCTGCTGCAGAGTAAAGTTGCTGCAGAGTAATGTTGCTGCAGAGTAAAGCTGCTGCAGAGTAAAGTTGCTGCAGAGTAAAGTTGCTGCAGAGTAAAGCTGCTGCAGAGAAAAGCTCACTTTCTCCTTCAGCGCGCCTGTTTCAACAAGAGAAAAACCATCTAAAACTCAGTCAGAGTCATCCGACCTAAAGACATTTCCTGACCTCTGCCTCGTCTACGAGCTTTGGCATCATTGCATATTTCTTTTCCCCAAAATGGATGCTTGTGTTTTCTCTGCAACGCTTCGTATAGTTATTCAGACGCTGATTATTTATCCGGCCGGTGAGAACTCCGTGACGGCGACGTTCCCTCGGAGATCAAGGGTGGCGTCTCAGAGACTTTGTCCAAACTTAAAGAAAGTAAACATCTTCAGAAGTCAGGGGGGACTCGGCTTCTCATCTCGGAGTCGTACGTCGCATCTAATTACACTCGGTCCTCTCCTCCGACTCACACATGAAGCTTCAAATCAAGTGTCTCACCCAGGGGAGCGAGGCCACTCTTCATTTAAATATGCATTTACTTGCCAGCGTCAAAGGGATGTTCAGGAGGACTTGTGGGTTACAAGGAAACTGGGTCACGTTGATTATTAGCAAATACAGAATGAGGCGCTGGGAAAATGAAGACCATGTTCTGTATGTCTGTGCCAGCGGGGGGGGGGGGGTCGTTACACCTGCAGCATCACATCGAACGCTGCTCCCATCAGCACCACACTCCATGGAAGATCCTCCCATCTGCATCCTTTTAATCTTCATCAATCCTATTTCTTTGTTTCACTTGGGCCATAGAAGTCATGAACCTCTGAGTGTCATTTTCCTGCAATCACCAACAGCAATGACACGCTGGACACCAACCGGTTCCTTCTCACTACCTGACGGCCGCACAGGTGAGACACACGTTGTGCAGTTCGTGCCCCACCACGACACGAGCTAACGTCAAGCCGCGCGCCGCGAACGCACTCGGGACCGACGGCGAGAGTCTGAGAAGACGGCGAGGCCAAACTTCCCATGAGGCGCTCACAAAGACAAACATTTCAGAGTTTTACAGCACGGCTCAGTAACCCTGTGAGAAACCCCCCTCCTCCTCTCCTCTCTTCTCCTCTTCCCCTCCTCCTCCTGAACTCTGAGAGCCCTGGGAGAGTCGGCGGGGAGAAGAGAGCGGCGAGCAGGGAGGTTAGATAAAGGAGCGGCGGCCCAGAGAATGCAGAAATCCACTTCTAAACAGATGCAGTAATTCCATTTCCAGCCCTTTACATTTGGTATGCAGGGAGGGGGCGAGTGTGGGGGGGGGTCGGCAGCGCGTAACCCGAAACCCGCTATCGCCGCTGCACACAGAAGGCGGGAGGCGAAGTCGACAGTTGGTGGCCGGGGGACGCCGGCTCTATCGGCCTTGTTAATCAATACGGGTTCCAGTCTGACGGACAGCGATCGGTGTAACCGATGCGCGGACGGCCATTCTGTTCGCCCCCGGTGGGGGGGAGGAGGAGGAGGAGCCACCTGTTTCCTTCCACGATCACTTGGGGCCCACAGCTCGGCTGGAGGCGGCTGGCCCGACGGGGAGGCCTCCGGATTGGCCCCCAAAAGTCGCTGCACGAGCAGTGGGACGTCTGAGGAGTCTCGTTCAGTCACAGAAAGACGGACAAAATGTCGGCTGGGGACGAACGTACAGCTAAATGCTCTGACCCCCCCATTGGCGAGTCATGCACACTGGCTTCAGGGGTTTGGCGGTTTGGTGCGGTTGCTATGCGGTTGCTATGTGGTCTTACTGTTGCGTTACAATGAAGCGTGTTGGAAATGACCTGTAAGTTTAAAATCACGAGTCCTGAGGCCACAGTTACTGGTTAGAAATGATGTTATTGTCCAAATCCCTGGACTATAATGATTTAATCCATCACAGGTGACACTTCGACGTGTGGCACCTTGGGGTGACAACGAGCGCGTCCACCCGGGTGTCGCGTTTCCATCCCATTCCCACTGAAGACCGAAGCCAGATGTCAGTGTTTATTTTATGATCCAGAGGCAAAGGGACTTCATTAGTTAACGCAAACAAATCGAGTCTTTGATTGTTTTGTCTGATTCACTGTGTAATAGGAGACAGCAAGTGGCAAGAGGTTAGAAGAAGAAGAAGTATCTCAAGCTAAATTCATCCCCAAGCGTTTTACTCTAAGTAACACAAAACAAAACACCCGCCCGCGGGACCCCAAACTGAGCTAAAACAAGCCCCCTTCAGCAAATATTGGAGTTTGGGGCTAATTAGTTGTGATTGGAACAAACCTGCGCGTTAGAAACCCGCCCGTCTGACAAACAGTCCCACCTGCATTTAAAGAGGAGGAATCCAATGAGACGTGCAAATGGGTTTAATTAGTGCCGTCACAATGCCGGTCGGCTTAAGTGCTGACACACAAACACGCAAACAAACACACCGTCCTGTTTTTTTGGGGGGCCCAGCGGTGCGTCCCGCTGATCGCCGGCCCAGCGTGCTCCGAGTGAAGCATCAGCGCCAGCGTTTAGACAAACAGCCCCTCCCTCCCTTGAGACCAAGACGACCCCCCCCCCCCCCCGCTGTGAGCTAACAAGACCACATTAACCTCCCTTACCACACACACACACACACACACACACACACACACGTCCTCTGGTCCCGTTGAATACTCTCTTGCTGTTACACACATGCGCGTGTAGACGCGTGGGTTTTTTTCCCGTTCAGCGTCGGACTGAGAGGAGACAGGAAGTGACATCACAGCACCAGGCCGCTGCGCCCTTGTGGCTTCCACAACTATTCGCAGATGAATAATTGACGCACGGACAATTAAAGCAGATAAAATAATGATCTTACCGTAAACCTAGAGAAAGATATCGTTTGGGCACAATACGAATAGTTTGCACTGAATTGAACAGTGTAAACAGTTGATGTCTTATTATTTGTACGTCATCTGACATCATCTGACCATCACTGCCTGTTTTAACTTCACTTATTCATAGTTTAATAAGTAACATTTATTTTGGCTCAGAGACAGTATTGAATAGTTTGAGTTAAATTGAATCAGGTAGAAAAACTGCAATAAACTACCGTAATGTGAAAAGTTATACTGTTTATGTGTTTTTATACATTTTGATATTCGTGTGTTATAATACGTTATAATAGCAGGAAACAAAAAACATCTACCAAAAGAGTTCGCCCCCCATGTGGCTGAACAAAAGGTTTTCCTCACCACGACAGAACAGACAATGAAATAAGATTCTTGACTGTAAACCGTAACAATGATTGATGATTATTTTTGCATAGCGTTCGTTGTTCGATGACATTTTGACTGATTTGAATTTGATGACTTCCATTCGTGTTCCTGAAAAGATCATTTTAAGAGAAAAATATATCAGATCAACTGGAATAAGGAACAGAGGACATGAGGAACTTCCAGCTGTATTTGTTTACACCGAAAAAAGCTGCAGTATTCTGCCTCACAATTAAGAAATGTAATCAATGTCTGTATTTAGACATGCACGGCAGGGCAGAGATTCTATATCTAGCATCTTGCAGTTGCAGGACTTAAACCTGAGTACAGCTCTTCAGGGTCGGACCTGTGTGGCCCCCAAAACATCTGGCTTCATGAAGAACGCCAGCCTGCCAAATAGAAACACAGGCCATTAATACTTGGGTTCAAGTTGCACTCAATATGAGCAGAGACGTATTATATATAAAGTGTGTTTGGGTATCATGACCTCCGGTGGTTAACAAAACATTTAGATGAAGAAAGGAAACGGCGGTTTTAATTTTTATTGTGATGTGCATTCAGGTACTTCCTGTATCCGTCAGACTAATGAGTGGGGAGGCAGACTCCTTACTACTGTCTGTATGCTAATCACATTTCTCCCTAATGCATCTATTGTATGATAATCAGCCCTCTCCTTGTTGTTTATACAGGGCTCTGTGTGTGCGTGCGTGTGTGTGTGTGCGTGTGTGTGTTAGCAGAGATTATAACCCTTCCTCCAGGGTGAACATTTTAAACAAACACCCAACATAAGAAGCGCTTGGTTGACTTGTTCTCCCCCTCCCCGCCCATGCCGGAGGTGTGTCTTCGCCACTGCTGTATAAAACCCAACGCACCCACCAGTGGAGGAGCGTGCACAGACAGCCTCGGTGCAGCAGTGACACAAAGAGAGAGAGAGAGGGGGGGGGAGACTAGACTGTGTGAAAGTAACAGACCATCACAAACTATCTCTCTAGCATGACGTCTGCAGCCTCCCTGGACTGAGCGCGCCGCGATGGAGAGGAGCATCCCGGGCTGGTGCGCGCTGGTGGCGCTGGTCGCGCACGGCTGCATGGCGGCCAAGGAGCTCCAGTGCCAGGAGATCTCCGTGCCTCTGTGCAAGGGGATCGGCTACAACTACACCTACATGCCCAACCAGTTCAACCACGACACGCAGGACGAAGCCGGCCTGGAGGTGCACCAGTTCTGGCCGCTGGTGGAGATCAAGTGCTCCCCGGACCTGCGCTTCTTCCTCTGCAGCATGTACACGCCGATCTGCCTGGAGGACTACAAGAAGCCGCTGCCGCCGTGCCGGAGCGTGTGCGAGCGAGCCAAGGCCGGCTGCGCGCCGCTCATGAGGCAGTACGGGTTCCCGTGGCCGGACCGGATGCGGTGCGACCTGCTGCCCGAGCAAGGCAACCAGGACACGCTGTGCATGGACTACAACCGCAGCCAGACCACCACGGCGTCTCCCGTGTTGGCCAAGCCGAGCAACCGACCCCCGAAGCCGTACAACCCCAGGAAGAAGAGCGGCAACGGGAAGCACAAACCGGCGGCGTCCCCGTGCGAGCCGGGCTGCTTCTGCCGCGCGCCCATGGTGCCGGTGACCGGCGACGGGCACCCGCTGCGCAACCGCGTCAAGACGGGTCAGATCCCGAACTGCGCCGTGCCGTGCCGCAGCCCCTTCTTCACCCAGGAGGAGAGGACTTTCACCGCCTTCTGGATCGGCCTGTGGTCCGTCCTGTGTTTCATCTCCACCTTCGCGACCGTGGCCACTTTTTTGATCGACATGGAGAGGTTCAAGTATCCGGAGCGGCCCATCATCTTCCTCTCCGCGTGCTACATGTTCGTGTCCGTTGGCTACATCGTGAGGCTGATCGCGGGTCACGAGGAAGTGGCGTGCAACCGGGAGAACGGCGCGGAGCACATCCACTACGAGACCACGGGTCCTGCGCTCTGCACCGTCGTCTTCCTGCTCATCTACTTCTTCGGCATGGCCAGCTCCATCTGGTGGGTGATCCTGTCCCTCACCTGGTTCCTGGCCGCCGGCATGAAGTGGGGGAACGAGGCGATCGCCAGTTACGCGCAGTACTTCCACTTGGCAGCCTGGCTCATCCCCAGCATGAAGTCCATAGCAGTTCTGGCCCTGAGCTCCGTGGACGGGGACTCCGTGGCCGGGATCTGCTACGTGGGGAACCAGAACTTGGATAACCTGCGGGGTTTCGTGTTGGCCCCGCTGGTCATCTACCTGTTCATCGGGACCATGTTCCTGCTGGCCGGGTTCGTCTCCCTGTTCCGGATCAGGAGCGTCATCAAGCAAGGGGGCACCAAGACCGACAAGCTGGAGAGGCTGATGATCCGGATCGGGGTTTTCACAGTTCTCTACACCGTCCCGGCCACCGTCATAGTGGCCTGCTACTTTTACGAGCAGCACAACCGACAGGCGTGGGAAATCACGCACAACTGCACGTGCGTGGCGGACCCGAGCCGGCCGAGGCCGGACTACGCCGTGTTCATGCTCAAGTACTTCATGTGCCTCCTGGTGGGCATCACGTCCGGGGCCTGGATCTGGTCCGGGAAGACCCTCGACTCGTGGCGGACTTTTTGCACGCGCTGCTGCTGGGGGAGCAAAGCCTCGGCGGGCTCCATGTACAGTGACGTCAGCACGGGGCTGACCTGGAGGTCCGGGACGGCCAGCTCGGTCTCCTGCCCCAAACAGATGCCTCTGTCCCGGGTCTGAGCGGGGGAGGAGAGGTGTGTGTGTGGTGGGGGGGGGGGGGGGGGTTCATTTGACACTTGAGACTTAACCCCCCCTCGCGCATATCAGCTCTTTAAAGAAAAATGGGTTGTTTTTTAAAAGTATAAAGATGGGTTGGGGACTTTGGAGAAAGCATTAGCCTTTTATTTCAAATGAACGGCCAGGGTTTTGAATAAAGGAGGGAATGGGGGGGGGGGGGGGGTAATTGTGTCGGGATTGTCCATCAGCGTGTTGTAATTAGCACATTAATGAGCGCCTAATGGCTTCTCTTTAAATAATGAGGCCGTCAGCAGCGGAACAATGTACCTCTGCAGGAAGAATGCAGGAGCTTATCGGAGCTTAATTGAATGCGCGCAGGCGACAAGATCCCCCCCCCCCCGTTCCCCTCCACCCCCCCCGTCGATATGTTGCGCGGTGCGGCAGCTCCTCTCCACCCTCCCGGGAAGAACCGCAGTGTCTTAAACTCACAAGAGTCACAATGAGACTTTTTGTCTTCGAGATGGATTGTACATTTTAATCAATGCCTTAATACTGTCTCATACGGGTCGCATTTGCGCGTAAAGTGTATTTATATAATTATTGGTGCACATATATTGTACATTTTGTAAATGAAAATTGACGAGATTGTAAATATGTATAATTTCCACATTGATAGAACGTTTATTTTGAGAATAAAACCAACTTTTATTGAAATGTTGTCCTTGTGCGTCCCGGTCATTCACACTTTGTGGTGAGTTCGGAGAGGGTTGTTAAGGTTTGTGGTTGTGAGTGATTTCAGTTGTGTGGCATTCATAGATTATTTTGCTTTTAAGCAAACGTCGCCTCGGGGGCCACAGGGGATGTGACAGCTTTACCAAACCTCCCCGGAGAGGCCGCTTCACGCGCTCAGAGACCCGCGGTGAACGTCGGCATGGCAACGAGCTCCCCTACAGGGGGTCTGCGCGGTTTATGCCCCCTGCCCTGATCCGGGCTTAATGTGTCACGTTTAACTACATTTCAAGTTTTTTTTTTCCTTTGTGGAAAAACAGGTGGATCAGAACTAGTTGGAGAAATAAGAAGTAATTGTGACAGTTTTATGATTTTGATTCCATCGTTTAAACGCAAACGCTTGTTTGTGGGGTGACGGTTGAAGTGGGCTCACGTGGTTCGCCTCAGGCTCACGGTGGATCCGTCCGTGGCTGTGGGTGATTACAATCAGTGGTCCACTCACGGTGTGACAGGGGGGGGCTACGTTTAGTTTCAGGGGGAAATAAGACGTTTGTGCGTAATGGGCACCAGCAGGCAGGGGGGATGCGCGGGAGTCAATGTGCTCCAAACTGCAGAGCACTTTCTGCAACCCACCCGCACCCATTGCTAAAAGGTGGAGAGAGATGGAGTAAGCTGCATCAGGCCGCCACCTTGTGGTCAAAGGACAGCCGGTCGCAGAGCGCATCCATCACCGATCCACCAATAAAGACACGTCCAAAAAGTCCAGAGAGTTTTAAGAGGTATGGACTCATTTCTATTATTATTTAGATGTATCTTTGAAATTACTTTTAAAACTTTGTTTCGGCTGATTCCAATATTTATATTACAAGTTATGACAAAGGACGGATTAATTTTATCTTTAATTGTTATATTGAAATAAATGATATGTATACATATATGTATAGTGGTGGTCTAATAGTGGACATTTGATTTTTGCACTAAATGACGTGCTGTAAGTAGAATATACTTAAGTAAAACATCCCACAGCGCTCGGCTTGTCCAATGTCCCCCCAAATAATTACATCACTCAAATTAAGAGACAGCAGCCTTTCTTGCTCCGTCCAACGACTGATTGCTACCCATGAGACAAGTTGGCTTCCTCTTCCAGTGGCGTGTGTGTGGTTGTGCGTGCGTGTGTGTGCGTGTGCATGCGTGTGTGTGTGTGTGTGTGTGTGTGTGTGTGTGTGTGTGTGTGCGTGTGCGTGCGTGTGTGTGTGTGTGTGTGCGAGGGGGTCGGGCATGTTCCCTCTGGCCTAAAAGCAACAAATAACCCAGCGGAGGAAATGGGTGGAGAGGTCGTGCCTGCTCCATCTCCCTGTAACACAAACAAGGCGTCCACCTTCTGGGACGAGGCCGGATCCCATTGGTGGAATTCTGAGGCTCCGCTGGTTGGAATGTTTCTGAATGACATCTTTGTCTGTTGATCTAATGATCCGTCTGACTGATTGGTTCGGGATAAATCACGTTAAGAAGTGCGAGCGGCCGTTGGGGGGGGGGTCACATGCTGCAGCACACAGCGGGTGGGAAGCGGCTTGCTTTGAATAACAGCTATTGTCACGTCGTGGCTGATTTACAATGTGGTCTGTAGACAAACATCTCTTCCATCGATCCATCAAAAAAGGCTTGTCAATCACACTAAGGCAATATATATATATATATGTTTGTATAGCTGTTAGTACTCAGGTCCGTTTGGTGGACGCAGAGCTCAGGAGGGTTTGGCTCTTTGGGCCTCAGTCATGTGTAAAGATGAACGACATGACAGCTGGAAAAAGTGGAAAACCTCTTGATCGCACCCCAATCGCCCCCCCCCCCCGGGACCCTGTCCATGCAAGTGGTAGGAAGCATGACACAAACTCAGAGATCAAAGTTCACGTCCTGCATTCCTCCCGTAGGCCGAGGTTCTTCTCCGAGGCCGAGCATTTATATCTGATACGAGAGACGCCGTCTTCATATCATAAGAAATGGCAGGATGGCTCTTGGTGGTAAAAATGTAAAGCCGGTAAAAAAAGAATTTATTCACTGCAGCCTTTTACATTTGTTTTAGTTTTTAATATTGTTGCACAATATTTTCTCTAATTCTAAGTTTATCAGTTAAATGCTTTTTTACTGTTTTACTATCCATTTATTCAGGCTACTTTATTTTTAATTTGGTGATTAATGTCTACTCATCTTTTCTCCGGTTTGCAGGTTTGTCTTCTTTTTTATATCCTGTTTGTTTTGTGTAACTCTTAACGTTAACATTTATTTATTTGAAAGGTAACAATTCAATAAAACCAGTTTTGATTGATTGATTGATTGATTCTAGCTGCTCCACTGTTTACTTATACCCTCTCAAAACTCCTTTGGAAATATTTTGTAGTATAATATACAAAACAATATTGTCTTTATATCAATGTCATAACAGCATTTGTGTTGGGCAACTCTTATACATGCCTTTCTCTTTTAAAACAATAGATTCATTTCCATATGTGAAGTAAAATCATTTATATATATCAATTGAAAGTTGTTTTATTTGACATCTTTCAATAAATTGTATAGTTATAGAAGCTACATTTTTTTAATCATCATTTCTTTACTAAAACTATTGTTCTCACACTGCAATAGTACCTTTTAGTGCTCTTATGTACTTTGCAGTATTTATCTTTGACCACTAGATGGCGATACAAGCAACACTGTCCTCAGGTTGCAAAATGAAGTCAAGCAAAGACAAACTGAGTCTTTTTTAAGGTCCACTTGAAAGATTTATTTTCCGCTGGAGTGGGTTTCAACTTCAAAAACAATGGTTAATGAAATACGACAAGTAATAATTACCTTAATTTGTTAAATATAGCCTCATTTTGGACCTTTCAGTTCCTAAATCCATACGGGTTAAATGCTCAGAGGTCCACGCGCTTTGACGTCCTTTGATTCAGTTTTACTTACTATGATGTGACGATGTGACAGTTTCTCTCTGGATGTGGGTTAACGCACGTCCACCGTCACCAGGTTTGCTTCTTTGACCTCATGACCTCGCAGTAGGTGCCTTTACCCTCCCCTCCCTCCCCCTCCCCTCTGAGGTCTCTGCACGTTTTGGCTGCCCCAAATACCACAGCAGAAGAAGAAGAACGCCGGGGCCCCCGTGTACGACTCGTATTCTCGCTGAGGGGAAACAAACTGTGACGCGAATGAGACTCCAGAAAGAGTCGATTTATCCAACGGATTTTATTATTACCAATTGAGCAGAATAGCGTTCAGTCGACATGTATTTAAATAACAAACTAACAAACTCAACAAACTAACGTGACGATTGGGACGTGATGGTTGAACTTTCTGTGATTTTGTCAACCTGCCCCCCCCCCTGTCCACTACACCCCAACCTCTTGTCCGGAGACTCCCTGCTATCAGACTGTTGGCCCCAGTTCGCCCCGACTGAAGTGTCCCGGTCCGGCTTTTTCCCACCCGTTGGGTGTCGGCGTCCTGGGGTTCGGCCCTCTGTCGGGGCGGGGGGGCAGGGGAGGTCTCAGCCGGCTGTGGAGGACGAAGTGGGCGGGCACTGGAGTGCCAAAGGGACTGGGGGTCCGAGGCGTCGCCACCGCGAGGCCGAGTCTTCTGGTCGAAAGGACTCCGCTGTCCTCCGTTGAGGTTGTCGTAGAACGCGCGGCGCTCTTCTCTTCCGTCGACGCCTCCCTCCTCCTCCTCCTCCTCCTCCTCCAGGTCACCGCGGCCTTTGTGGAGGTCGCCAGGTCCGCCAGACCCAGCAGGACGGACAGGGAGGCCAGTCCCAGCATGAGATGGAGCATCATGGTCTTCTCCGTGGGTCTGGAGACGTAGCACTCCACGCCAAATGTGCAGGGAGCCTCGTGGCAGCGGAAGCTCCGGGGAACGGACGAACCGAAGAGGAAGAACTGCCCGCCGGCGAAAACCACCTCCAGCAGGACGCGCAGCATCACAGCCAGGAAGTAAGCGCAGTGGAAGCGCGGCGCTTCCCGCGCAGGCCGCAGGCGGGGAAGCCTCGAGGAGCCGGAGTCCCCGAGGGCGACGGGGGACCCTCCTCGACCGCCGTCGCAGCAGAACCCTCCGTGGGGAGGCGACGCCACTTTGTGCACGACGTAGGTGGCGAACAGCGCGTCGGGGACGCACAGCAGGACGAGGTGGAAGAGCCAGAGGCGGAAGGCGGACACGGGGGAGAAGGCGTCGAAGCACACGGTGGAGCAGCACGGCTGGACGGTGTTGCAGGTGAAGCGATCCAGCTCGTCGCTGAAGAGGGTGGAGCCGGCCAGCAGGAGGACCAGCAGGCGGAGGGGCAGCATTAACATCCACCACGTTTTGCCTCGGGTGGGGAACAGATGATGACGTTAGGATGGAGGATGGATTAAAGGAGGAGAGAGAAGAGCATTTATAAAAAAGACTTCCTTTCATCTACAATGCTAATTATATAGATTCAAAAGTTTTAACTGTAATTTCACAATAAATTGCGGTATTATTGAGGTAAAGGATTATTACAATATTTCCACAGCGGCATACTGTTAAATCACAGTAAATAAACAAATGACATGATACAGTAATTTCATGTGAATTCAATGCAACTGTACTTTACAGTAATTAACTGTAAATATACAATCTGAATAAACTGAGAAAAGTGAAGCTATTTGCTGTTTATTTGGGTTAACACAAGTTTAATTAGATGAACGTGAGACAAAAGAAGCGTACCTATAAATGAGACGTTGTGACTCATAGTGATCAGGAGCAGATCTCTGGCCCACGTCGTCCTCATTGTTCAGCGCCGACCCGGACCCCCATGACAGAACCAGCCAGAACCCTTCGAGAAGAGCGCGGTGGGAGCCGCTGGCGCCGTCCACACTGTCCCCTCCCACATTGTCCCAGAACAATACACCACTCGGTGACCTCTGAGGTTTTCTTACTGCGTCCCTCGGGGGTCTCGGAGGCCGGGACGCGTGCGGCGAGCTATTCTTACCGGGCCGCCATCAAAGCATTGCTGGGATGTCGAGGCACTTTCGTGGATGCTGACAATCGGCTTGTAATAGAAATCATAAAGCCGAGGGACACGGCTCAACGGCCCGGGGCGATTCCTTCAATAGGCAAGTAGCTTTCAGTAGTTTCATTTCAACGTCAATCAAATCTGAGAATTACAGAACCATTTTCAAATCAACAAACCATAAACAAGTTAATTTGCTTTTATTATACTAATTAAATACTTTTATTTTTTGTCATTTCAATGTGTGTTCAAAATAGCAATATTTTTTTTCAAGGAAAAGTTTCTTCGGGCTTCTATAATTGGAATTGGACTGTGGAAAAAATATACTTTAACTGCTAAAACTCCATGATCATGACCTCAGATCAATAATACTCGATCAGAAGCTCTGCTTCAGCCTTTATTTCGTGTTACACGTTAATTGTTTGATTAATCACTTCCCGAGGCAGGAATGTTTTTTTGTGTCATCTATTCTGTCTCCTTTCATCGTCGCTTTCTTCGTACTGACCTTAGTTTGAGCCCATCGTGTGCATCTAGCAGCAACACAAGCAACCAGAAGAAGAAACGGACTACCTGAGTATCCAGATGTACGCTAGAAATACTGTAAACCTTGAGTAAAAAAATATTCCCAACGGACAAAACCTTGAAGACAAAACACATGTAGTTATTTTATGTCGAAGGAAATACATTTGTGAAAAGGCTGCTTTCAGCCAGACGTTAATCTCACACGATGACAGCGAAAGAAATAACACGCTGCCAAGTTGCACATCCGTGAGGAAACGGAGACGGAGTCTCCGCGTTACGTCCTCGGAAGCTGTGGGACACTCGGAGGACCTTCTCCGGTGGCCCGAAGCTACAAACACTCGTCTCTCCTTCCTCATCAGACCCGCAGGAGGCATCACAGGAAGTCAGGGAGTCCCCTCCGGCTCCCGGGACACCTTTGCGTGTCCCCCGGTCCCACGCGGGGGCCGCGGGCCAGACGCTCAGGTCTCACCCGCTAAAAATAAGACGTCCCGGCGTCAGCGTTCAGCGCGGCGGCGGACCGATGGCGGCTAGGAGAGGATGGCGGGAACCCACCGAACCCCACGCAGGTCGTCGGTGCTGGCTGAGCGCTTCCTCGCTGCTCGCCGCGCCTCCTTGTACTTGTCGTCGCAGAGCCTGGAAATAGCCTGAAGGGACACGGAAAGGCTGCTTGATTTCGTTCTGGGGACGGGGGGGCGTGAAACAACTTCATGGCGGGAAAAAGGGTTTTATGCTTACAACATATTATGTTTGTAAATTGCGCCTCACCTCCAGCTTCTGGGCCTTGTCCCGGCTCAGCGGCTCCAGCGGGAAGCTGAGGTCGTTGGACTCGGACAGCGAGCGCAGGTCGAAGTAGTACTTGGCGTAGACGCTGGACGGCACGTTGATGTTGAACTGCAGCAGCTCCAGGAACTGCCGCTCCAGCTCGTTCCTGTCGGAGGGGAGCCGGCGTTACTTATTCCGCGTGGCCTCCCGCGGTAACATACCCGTGTCTGAATCTGGTGGATTGAGCTCACATGTCCGCCACGGCGATGTCCTTGAGGATCTGGCAGTAGTCCACGTTCCACACGGCCTGGTCGTCCCACACCTTGGAGGCCAGCAGGATGGCCCCCAGAACCATCCTCTTCCAGTTCCCCGGGCCGATGGCGATCTCCGCGTAGGTCAGCAGCCTCTCCAGGTAGATCTGCCCAGCCGCGAAGGGAAGGAAAGGAGGTTTAGAGGAGGAGTAACGGGGACGCACGCCGACGCCCCCCGCCGGATTGGAAAGAGTCTCACCAGCGTGACGATGGCGCACTCGGCGGTGAGCTGAGCGGAACTGAACAGCGTCCTGACGAACCGGTAGATCTGCTTCTGCTCCGGGCGGCGCTGGTCGTAGTCCGCCGGCACCTCGGATTTCTGAGGGGGGGAGGGGGGGGTGGAGGGACGAGGGGAGGAGAGGAGAGGAAGGGAATATACGGGAATGAAGAAGGGAGGAAAGGATAAGAAAAGGAGCACAGTGACCTCACGCGACCCGACGCGGCGAACCCACTGAAGTTGATGTGAAAGGAGAAAAGAACACAAGCGACATCGAGCGTCTTACTGTGAGAGGATGAAGCTTCTCGTCGAATATCTCCTGCACCATTCCTCCCTCCGTTCCCCTGGCACGAGAACAGAAAGGGAAATTGCGAATTTCAATAAATAATAATTAATCAAGCGGATGTGAAGCGTCTAGCTGTTAAAGTGGCAAAATGTTTTGTTTTTGATTCACTACTGAAATATTGTAACAACTAGATATGATTAAAAGCTGATGCTGCAAAACCATTTCTATCTATTTCATATTTTGATTTGATAATTGATAAAAACATTCCTCATCTGTTGTTTAATGGAAACGATCCAAATTCCAGGTTTCAGTGAAGTTAACAGAAAAAAAAGAATGCAGAATATTGTGTTGAAAGATCCCACCTGTTCTTTATGTGGTAGTAAACCGCCAGGGCGACACTGTGGAGAGAAAACAATAAAACACCTGCTCTGCATCTTTAAACACGACGGCACTGCAGAGAATGAATGTTGAATCCTGCTTTTTACCATTTGATGGTGTTTTTGAGGTCGGGCTGGCTGACCGTGTTCTCGTCTAAGAAGATGGTGGAGCAGGAGCTGTACTTCCGCCTGGTCGTTTCATGCTACACACACACACACACACACACACGCGGTGACGGTCATTAGAGTCCACGTGTGACCCACATAGAGCCTGCCAGGGTGTCCGAGGGGGAATCAACACGCAACATCACAATGTGTCCGTTTGCCTTTTGTTGAGACATTTAGCCCATTTAAAATAATCATTTTAATTATATATATGTATAATATTGAGATTCAACAAAACAGTTGAACTTACATTATTGATGAAGAGGCTTTTTCGTTTATCTCGTGCTACAAGCAAAAAAACGGTAAAACCAGTCAGTCATATTAAATTTCTTCTGCTTCAACAACCAAGAGCCAGCCGTGATTTAGTACTTGAGTGAAGCAGGAAAAAGAAGCAGTGCGCGTGGAAAAGTGAGCGCTGGAACAGAAGGAAGACAAACGTGCTGTTACACCAGCAGAGGGACTCAGAGTCTCACTCACCGTTCCTGCAGGGCGCCGCTGCAAAACAAGAGGAACCAGAAAGCTTATTGCTCGTCCGTCCGTCTCGTGACACATTGAACCCATTGCAACCAACAGAACCTTTAACGTAGCTTTACAAAAAACAACACAGTGCGTTTTTTAACCATATTTGCAGACATGTCAGGCAATATTTGATCGTATTCGCTTCCTGTCCTTTTGGTCTCCTCGGGGTATTTGTTGATGAAGTCAGCTTTGTCCTTTAAAGCCACGAGGAAGAAGGAGGGTCACTTACATCTGACTTTTTTATCCAAAGACAAAACCAAATATTGCAAATAAAAAGGAACAAAAACCAACCAACTTTTAATCTGAAAACATTGTGATTATTCACACATCTGCCTGACATATTTATTTATTTTTTGTAGGTAATAATAATATTATTATATATATATATAATATTATATTATTATAATAATAATAATATTCATATTATCTCTGTTTGAGACTAACGATTACATTTAAAAGACATTTATCAAAGTCAGTTTTCATCTGCTTTAACATTAAAGCTTATATTGTCTTACTGTTATCATGATGTTGTGTTCATGGCTCTAAAAAACATGATAACACCCCCCCTTCCCCCACAATATGCTAAACATGCTGAAGCTCTCGTCTCTCATCTAGAAGCCTCGGGGCAACGGCATAAATCAGCCGGCTGGCCACAAAAGAACCGGCTCTGGGATCAGTGCTCCAAAATACACAGCATTTTTCTCCCTTATCTTCTCACCCGGGTCGGATTTCAGGATCATGTTCAAGTGTGTTGTTTGTGACACGTGCGCTCACGGCGACGTCACATCCTGCTTGCACGGGAGGGATTTAGGAATTGCAGCTACTCACCATCGTGCTGGGATTTGCTGAGGAATATGGTGCCGGCCCGCGGGTGGTCCGACGGATTGTGCGCCATACTCGACTCTGGGAACACAAAGCGTTCCTGATTGGTTGATTGATTGATTCTGCAACACTGACCAGGAGCCACGGTGCTGTATTCGTCTTTAAATGACGTCCGTCCATGTCGGTGCAGAAGCATCAACCGGAGTCTGTGTGAGAGGGAAGTAATGTAACGTAACGTCCTGTCACTGCCTCATCGTCACAACAAAGGAGTCGGCTTCACCAATCAATTCATCGGCGTGTATTTTAAAGAGAAGTGGTGGCTCTACCAAACAATGCTCACATATTACTGCGTTTGAAAAATATCCTGTTAAGAATGTATAACTTTTGACATAAAAGAGTGCAGAAGTTATAGGAATACATATGAAGTGTTGTGTTAAAAAATGAAGAACCGCCGGACGGACAGAGGGCATCGCAGATCAAAAGGTTAAATCAAATGTATTTAATAAAAGAGATGGTGTTGTGGTAAAAAGAACATCTCAGCTGAGGAGCCGCTGGTCTCAGCAACCAACAGGCCCCAGGTCAGTCCTTTGACCCTCCCTAGTGCCCGTCTGTCGCCTCCACCAGCGAACCAGAGAACAATGGTTCCTACAGGTATTTATAACAATGCTTAAAGGTGTGAAAGTCAGTGTCCACACCTCTGGGAGTCTTCTGGTGAGTTCAATGTAACTCGGATTTCGAATGATCCTTAGTCAATATCAGTGGTTGTGCAAGTATTACATGCATGCATTCCAGTTGATTACATTACATCAAATACAATCATAACTGCACATTGGTATTATTCTATTACAGTTGCAGAATTACAGTGGTTTTACAATATTGTCATTACTTTATTGATTACACAGTGTCAGAATCATGGCTGTATTCTGGTTTACACTATGTGCATTTTTATTAATTTTATGAACCGGGTCGTATATTTGTTTCTAATATCCTACAGAAGTATAGAATAAATCCTGCAAAAGTAACAACATCTTGCTGCTGAGGTACACGAGCGGCATGTTAGCATTGTCACTGTTAGCATGCTAACTTTAGCCTTTAGCTGAGCCTGTGAGTACAGTGACACAGAAAGTGACTTTTTTCTTGTAGATAAAAGTTTCAGTGACTTTCGTTCTTCTTTGTCACAGTCAGCACCACTTAAAGACCAAAACCCCTCGACGGCCTTTCAGTAAATCCACGTACTCCCGTCTTTGTTCAACCGTGGCCGCTCACGGCCTAAACTTGGCTTTGCGAGGATCGAGGACTCCATAAAACGAGGCGCTTTGGGTGCAATCACCGTTGAAAAAAGCCCGGCATGCAGTCTGCCGAAAGCTTCCGCTCCGGGGTGTTTGGCTGCCATGCAGACGTTTAGGGGCGCGCAAGTGGCTTTGGTTCTGTATCACATGTTTTACATGTGTAAACGTAACGTATGTGGAAAAAAGGGGAGTTGTACGTAGACAAAAGTGCATGAACGCGTGTGGACTAAATGACGCTCGAGGGCCACCCCGAAGACACTCATCGGCGCTTGAGAACCCTGCTGGTGATGACTGGTGAAGTGTGGCAGAAGGCCTCTCTGAAGCATCTGTGCGTTTCACTCCACCGGAAATAGAATCAAAAGAGCATTCGGCAAAAGATTTTGTGCGTAGCCTACACTCATTTGAACCCAAATACCCCCCCGAACGCGGCCCGCCCCGCTCACACCACCGGGCGGACTGGGCTGAGCTTGGATTACACTCGTCACAGTTCAGCACCTTATGCAACAGTATCGCTGCATCCGGGCCGATTTCAACACCTTCTCGTATTAGGACGCAAACCGGCCCAGTTCAACGCCAGGGATACAAAACCTGTGAAGAATGTTAAAATTGGGCGACTTGTACCATCAAATCTTGCCCCACTTAAACGCTTTGGCATTCCACGTCCTGCAGAACATATGGAATTCTGCTCTCCTCGAGGCACCTGGGACGCCATGATCAACAATCACGTAACAGGAATTCAGTGAACTTTGTTTAAAGTGCAAAGATAAGACAAGTAAATAATGTGCATAGCGTGTAAAGCCTCCTTTGTTGTTGTTTTTAACAACATTGGTAACCCTTTGGGGCAGTCGGATGAATAGATTCCATTGTTTTCCAATTTCTGTGAAATAAATAATCAATGAAACTCAACTGATTTAAGTTTGGTTCGAGTTCTCTGCTTGTCGAGATGATTGTGCTGTTTCCATAGAGATGAAGCGCTTATATATGATTTACATAAAGTGTGAGTGGAGCTGCACATTTCAACAATAGTTTTAACCCTCAAACCAACGGGGTTAAAGAGACTTGATGTGTGACATCCAGCGCCTGCGGGACGCGAGCTGAGCATCCGCAGAGGGAAACAGGAGACGCCGAACCTGCTCTCACGTAATGAATTATGTAATCGTGACGGACAACAGGCGCCGGTCCAAAGCTGCACGGTGGCGTTTCCGATGTCCTAAGTGTTTTCAGATGTCCCGGGACTCTCTGGGGGACGAGGGTTCAGTCGCTGCGTCGTCTGCGAACGCAGCGGCGTCGCTATCGGTTACCTTTGTTTGTTTGGAAGGAGATCGATCGCGTCCCCTTGTCTCAATCCAACGTGGCCCCTTTAAATAATACCTCGTTTTCTACCGAATCGGGAATCCAAACTAACGAAGGAACCAAAAGCTCGTGGCTGCAATGAGTTACACCTCCGACCCGCCGGTGACCCGCCGGTGACCTCAGTCTGTGGAGGACCGACATGGCCGCTGCTCGGTCGTGCTTATTAATCCGCGCCGGTTTCACTTTACAGAGACGCCGGGATTCAGATGTGCGACGTCACCTTTGGTTTGTTTTTGTGGCTTTGCAGGATTCTGAATATTACAAACTGAATACAATGAGGTCAGCAAGCGATTAATGATTAATAACATCCGTTTGCTTTTAAATATGTGTGACTTCGGGACTCTGGTTCATTTCCCCAACGGGAGGATGTTGTTATTCTAGCCGCCTTACACTGTTTCAGCACACACACACACACACACAGATACACACACACACACACACTGAGCCAAGGCCTTGAGAGGTAACGTACCGAGCTTAAACAAACAGAAGTGACGTGCACACACGCGAGGCTGCGGCGAGGAAGGGAAAACCTCTGATCACATGCACTTCTTCTTCTACGCGACCATTTCTGCACTCACGAGATCTTTTATTCACGATGGCGGTTAACAATCCGTGTTTCTGTAGTTTCGGTGCTGCTGTATCACTGTTTCCCCTCTGGAGCAACACGGCAGCGTGGTCGGCTTTTTGTTCTGGTCCTTTTGAATTAATCCCTGGGCAACTTTTCCAGGACAAACGTGTCTGACCATCGGATGACGTTTGTTACCTTTGGTTGTCATCTCTTGTTAAAACACTGCAGGGGCCGCGATCTGGATAACGACCAATGTCGCCGTGTGATGTGCCGTCTCCGAGCAGATGAGGAGCAGCTGATTAAAATAAGGAATGAAAGAAAGCACGGGAGGGGAGTGAGGAGGGGGGGGGGCAGCGTTAATGACACGCTGAATAGAAACCCCCCCTCCTCCTCCAGCGCTTGTGTGTTTCTGTACATTTGAAGCGGGCCTGTCATGGCAACATGCTTCATTAATTCTCCACATCCACCTCCACACTTCTTCTTTCTGTCCCTCTTGAAGAAGAAGAAGAAGAAGAAGAAGAAGAAGAAGAAGAAGAGGTTGACAGCTACATGTAATTGGATCATTCGTATGGTGAGGTTTGAGGAAGATGCAACATACGGTGCAGGGGGTTTCTGCTTAGTGTCAGAATCAGGGGGGGGGGGCACAAGGAATCAGTTTTACATTTCCAGTCGCTCTTGATCTATTATGCGGAGATGAAAGAGGAGCTTTGGGATTGCAGAGTTCACACTATAAAACAAACAAGGGGCCGCCGGTTCAAACGGGAGATGCAACACCGCGACATCCAGGGATCCTAACGATGGGCCAACGAGCTTCGGCGCCGCGCACGCCGCCGCCTGACGGGGACGAGCGTCAGCTGACCGCGAGGCCTCACAGAGGCCGCAGTCATCAGTCGGGACAACACAGCGCGCTTTGTCAAAGGAAGGCCGACCAAGTGACGGCTCCACCCCGCCCCCCTTATCTCCATCTTCTGCCTCCATTAAGCAGAAGCCCCCCTTTCCCCCCGAACCCATTATAGTCCATAATATTAGAACTATTAGTCCACACCGCCTTGATGTTCAACAGCGTTCGTCTGATATTTAATGCGTGAGCTTGTGAGCAGGATAGAAAACGCAAACACGTGCTGACAAAATAACTGCACCTTTCGTCACAGTACGGAAGCTTTTCAAACCAGCCAAAAAAAACAACGTAATTCTCCCAAACTAAGCTGGTTCAATCCAGCCGCTGCAGCTCTGCCGGCGAACTGGTGGCAATGGCGTCATGCGGCGAGGAGATTATCCGTTCCTAAAAAACAGACGGCCCGGGGAGGTCGACCCGGGACGCCAAACAGCGGCGTAATAGTCCCAACGGAGAGAGAGGCGACGTGGCCACAGAGCGTGTGTGCAGATATGGATCTTATGTCATTATCGATTACTGACTGTAATCATTTCTTTTATGTGGGGCAGCTTGTCCAAACAATAAATAATAATTCCCTACGCGCTTCTAATCCACATCCTAAGCATCATTCTTTTATAAATGTGAAGTATACATCTACCGAAACAATTACATGGGAGAAATTGCTAATGTGAGTCAATGAAAACCTTCGAGAATAAAGACGCCGTCTTGCTGCACTAGAGCCAGAAAAACCGACGGCTCGGATTTACAAAGTAAAAGCACATCTCTTATGTTACCTGCTCCTAGGATGCCGTCATGTCGATTAATACGCTGCTCGACAATCCCGGCCGCGCGTACTAGTGTAGTGGAGAGAAGCTTCTGGCTATTAGAGAGCTATTAAATCTAATGTGAGAACAATTGACTTTGTTCCCAATGAAAGGATCGTCGTGCTCATTACGTCCGTGCTGTGTTTGGATTGTTTAATCTATTGCAATTATTTTATTAAAGCTCAGAAATGTTAATTAACTTCTGTGACTCGTGCCTGAGGACCCTCTTTAAAACAAGATGGTGCATCTCAAGGGCTTCGTGCTCTGATTCCATTACGGAACGAAAGGGCCGTTGATCCGGTGTACGTTGATGTGTAGATATCACAGGTCGGTTCATTGAGCTAATTCATATTTCTCTGCTCCACGTCTCAGTGGGTTGAAGGCAGCGGAGTCTCTTCGGTCTCGGGGCGACGTCTTTGGAGGCACCGCGTCACACTCTCGGTTAAGGCCTCCATTCATTGGCAACAGCGCGTCCCCGGTGGCTATCTGCTCTGGCACAGCTGCCCCTCTGGGCCTTTCTTTGGGGGGTTGGGGGACTCTATCTGACGGGGCACTCCGTAATGAAGCCCACTAATCTGCACTCGTAATAGAGGCGACACATCAGACGCGCTGCGCCTCCAATCACCGCTCCACCGGCGAGACAGGCGTCCTCTCAGCGCGTCTCCAAGGGGAGGGGGGGGGCATCCGGCAGTATGCATGACCCATGTGATGAGAGGTAATGCTATACTGTGGCCATCATACCAATAATGACATGAGCACCTCCCATAATGCAAGGCACTGTATAGCAATCACTAATGGGAACGCGTCCAAGTGGCTCACTCGAGTTTAGAGGGGAAATGACATCACGGGTCAATGAAACAGGTCCGTCACCGTGCAGGTGAAGGGATGCGCCCTTTGTGGAAGTCTTCCAGCCGACGGCGCCGGCTGCTGCGAGCGCGTCGACTGCCGGCGATCAGCACCAACGCGCGACACCAAATATTTAATCCTGCCGCTCTGAAAAAAACACTCACAATTTCACAACCGTCAAATACAGTTTGAGACCAATCGCTCGGACGTGACGGTCGGCTGGAAAAAAGCAACCCATTCACCAGACCCTTTGCAGTGTGAATGGGTCGATTGTGATGCATATTAGCGTGTCAATGGCGGGGGAGGGGGAGGGGGAGGGGGGGCTGAGCTATCTGCATTTCTGTCATACGCAGGCCGAAAACAAAGAGCAGCACAAAGGAGGCTGCCGCACGTCGCTCTGCCAGGACACATGAGGGGACGGGGGGGGGGGGGGACATGTCTGCTGCGTGACATGTTTCTGCCAGTCACTCAATACGTACGCTAGAAGATCTAACAGAGATCACTGGAGGGGTCAAAGGGGATCATCCCAGATGTAGAAATGAGGCTGTAATATGCAGCCAATGTTCCTTTAATATTCACGTATAACAGAGGATCTTTAAAGTAAAACACATTCATATATATATATATATATATATATATATATATATATATATATATATATATATATATATATATGCACGTTTGTCTTCTGAAAGCTTTGGAGTAAGCAGATAAGAGTCACTTCTAGGCCACGTTGACATGTTTAACATGTGTTGATACACTTTTAGAAAATAAACCTGTTACTGTGGCATAAAACACACTCCCATTCTGGCAGAAAGTGTGACTATTATCCTTCATATGATATGATACAGATATTATTAGTATTCTTTTTGTTTTTCTGTTTGTTTTTACCGTCGACGTTCTCCCGGTCGCTGATGTGCTGCAGGTTGCATCCCGTCTCCTCCCCGCCGAGCTCCGCGTCCTGCGGGTACGAGTCCAGCCGGGAGTGCGTGTTCCTGCGGAGCTTGGGGCTGGAAGGCACGCAGCAGGAGGTCGTGCTCCCCATCCCCCCCCCCCCCCCCCCCCCCCCCCCTTCTCAGAGGTACAGCGTTAACGGTCCTTCCCGCTGAAAGAGGAAACTTCCCGCGCCGGTCACCGGAGACCACCGGAGACCACCGGAGACCACCGGAGACCACCGGAGACCACCGTGGATCCCGGTGTCCACGGAGAGGCGTGACGCACGGGGGATGAAGGTGTGACTCCCACGGCCCGAGCACCGTGTGTCAGGACGCGCCCCGCGGTGCGCGCGTGTGTTGTGGCTGGCTGTGAGGCGATAGACCGACGGGGGGGGCTGCAAATCCCCAGAAAAGGTTCCGGTTCAAGTGGGTGGTTACACATGGGGGGGGGCAGACATGAGCGTGATTTACTGCTGATAACGCTGATACATGGATCTATTTCTCTTGTGTTTATCTAAATGATCATGAATATTGTTGAGGGGCTATTGTCAGGCAACATTGTGTTTGATGTAACACGTGAGTCATTTTAACTTTAAGTGCATTTAAATCACAGATACAATAATAATAATGCACATGTTTATGTTTATGTCGAATAATAAACAGTGATATAACAATAAGGGATACTTGCATCCTCAGGCTTCTATGGTCCATTAAGGAGTAGCTTTGGGGTCAATTTAGTAAAAAAAAGTGTGGATATCATTTTAAATTCCCGGGTGGAATAAAACCTCAAATATTATGATAGATATTTATTTCCAGGAGTATTCGGGGGGCCATCTGTTGGCCAACCCATGATACTGCATCTGTTTGGATTTATTACAGCTCCGGTATTTAGGGGCCATTTGTGGCCGAATTGGAATACGATGCTCATTCATCACGGAAATCAAATCAAACACTGCGCGTGAGTTCTCTGCGTGTTTGGGATTAAGTGGAGCCGCTGCCCGTTTGGGTGCGTGAGCTTGTTGTTGCAGTGGCGTCGGCCGGCCAGCAGGGGGCCTCCTCGGACCGCCAGGCCCCCCGGCACGAGGCCTCATCTCACTGCTGGCCGGTTTCGTCTCCAGGTGGAAATTTCCACTCCAGTCCCACTGGACCAAAGGCCAAGAAGATGTTCGAGGGGCCACAAGAATAAATATCCCCGAGCCCGAAGCTCTCCGCTGGGAGGAGGAGGATAAACGCAGCGAGGCGGAGGCTGAATATTCAAGTAAACGAGTCACAAAACACGCGATGGAACCATTTGGAGATCCAGTTAAAACTCTGTAATGTTCTGCAAGTGGAGAAGCAGAATGTGGAGGAGACAAGAATGATGGTTCAGTGTCAGCGGCAAGGTTCTCTCTTCATAAACATTCATCTCAAGGTTTCCCTCCAAAGCAACGTGCGTGCGTGCGTGTGTGCGTGTGCGTGTGTGTGTGTGTGTGTGAATGCAGAGACAGAAGTCAAACATTTCTTTTCTCCGGCGTGTTTTTGTTTAGAGGGAAAACTACTTTTTGAGGGAGAAACACCTGAGGAATCCATCCCACTTCCACACAGAAACAGACTCATCGCTGCCTTTCTCGCCATCAACCCCTTGGAGGTCAGTGCCATGTCGCTGGGCGTTGCCATGGAAACTCCCCACGTCCCCTTGAAAAAGCATCATTTAATCTGAGTTTGCTTCTTTTTTTTGCTTTTCTTATCCCATTCAGCGAGCGAATGGGGACATTTTGTTGCTCAGCAGAGGGCAGCCGACCTACCAGAATGAAACCCGGAGTTTGTGTCTCTTCCCGTGAAGACGTTACACAACCTGCAACCTTCAGCGACGGAATAAACCCGTTACCGAGCCAACCGCTTCTTCCATCGCCATTCATTGAATCACAGGGAGACGATATTCTTTTAAAATGATTAACGTCCTTTTTAACATCGGCTATTCGTGGGTATTTATTTATTTATTATATTATTAATTCTGTAACTTTACGTGTGTTAATGATCGTGCATACTTGTGTCCAGCGGAGTCTAGCCGATTGCCATGGCGACAGCCAACGGGCTGGTGGGGGTCCTTTAAACAAGCAGACCTTTCCTCCTCATCGTCACTTCCTCTGACGAAGTCGAGCATCGGGTCACAAAACAAGTCACCGTCCGCGTCCCATTTCAATGTTTTATTAGATAAACCAAAATAATTTGGGAGTTGTTTTTTTTTTATACAAGTCAAACAAGGAAGTACAGCGAGAAGAGAGCACAGGCTAAAAGGAACCTACGACAGGCAGATCAATTCAACTCAGTGATTAAACATTAACGAATCAGCATTTTTTGGTAGTATTTCAGCGAGCGGGTCACAGCCGCCCCCCCCCTCTTCATCTCCAGGTTCCTCCAGAGCTTTGGCAGCGTTAGATGGTGTCTCGGGTTAAGAGGTGCTCTCGCTCTCATCAATAAAATATATTCAGTGGAAACAACTCAACAACTACTGAGACAAAAAAAACAACAACAAAAAAAAAAGAATAGGCAGTCTTCAAATTCACCAGAAACATCAACACGACATGATAGAGTTCATTCAAATAAAATGTCTTTACATTTAGAAATAAAAAAAGACATTGGCATAACCCTTTAAAACAGAGCATTTTAATATCCAGCCGTGATCAAATACAGTTTTATACCACATTGGATATCCATGGTTGCACTAGCGTAACAGTAAAGCAGGGAGTTATCTTACAAAACTGCTTTATTCCATGTAGAGCGGCTTTATTCCATGTAGAGCGGCTTTATTTCAATATCGAGTAGACAATTCAATCTGTCGCACGTCAGCCAAAAGGTCGCTGTGACTTTCTTCTTTTGAAAGATATACAAACTTGTGGAGTGAAATTCCTCAAATAAACAGAGTATAAATTCTGATACTTTGGTACTTTGACTGTTTCAAATGTGACAGCAGCTCACTGCGGTGAGACAAGAAGAGCCGCTGGTCCAGATGATGCCTGAAACGTACTTTAGAAGCTCCGTTTTGAATCCTTTACGTGCGTCTTGAAAAAAACGTTTTTTCTATTTTTTGGACCAAACAAAGACCGTCTACACAAAATCACATCCGAAGGGCTCTTCTGACAAAAACAGCGCTCAAGAGTGTTCGTCCCTCGGGGGGCCCCCGGAACAGAAGCGTGAAAGCGTCGCCGTGGAGACGCGAGAGAGTTCGCCTCGCTGCAGCCGCCGCCGCCGGGCCCGACCTCGGGGGAACCTTCTGGCAGCGCGACCCGGCTGACCTCCTCCTCTCTGCCTCTTAACCTCCGCGCTGGCTTTTCAGGAAGCACCTGTACTTCCTCTTCCTGTCTGTGTGTCCCCCCCCCCCTACCCTTTGCTTTCGGCGGCGTGCACAAAAAGCTGCGGCGAGCGAAGCTCCTCGAGACGAGGGCGAGAGCGACGAGCGGCAAAGCCCAAGCTGATCGGACTCCCGGCGCCGCCGGACATGAGCGAGCTGAGGCAACAACGTCTTTGTTCCGGACTCTTTTTTTTGGGGAGGGGGAGGGGGGGGGGGGTTTGTCTTTTGCAGCGGTTGGGCGCCGCTAGTCGGCCTTGTGGCAGTAGATGTCCTTCAGCGCCTTCAGCTCCTCGATCAGGGTCTTGTTCTGGTTTCTCCAACACGGCCAACGCGTTTCTCAAGACACTTCACGTACTCCTTCTTTTTCCTGCGACACTCACGACCCGCCTTCCCTGAGAGAGAGAGCACGTCATGTTACGGTTTTATTTCAATGTTTGTTTTCCTACCGTAGAATGTAATGTGTAAACGCCCCCCCCCACATCAGCATCAGCTGGCCCCGCCTCCTACCTGTTTTTCATCAGTCGGACCTCCCTCTTGCGGGTGATGTCTTCAGAGTGGTGCTGGGGGGGGTTCTGCATGGTCCCTGGAGACGCTGCCATCACGATGCTGTGAGCCAGGCCAGAGTTGGGCGAACGCAGCTGGTAGGCGGGTATGTCTCCTGTGGCAGCTGTGTGAGGGGGGGGGGCAGAAGCTTTAGGACTCCAAGTTCTGTCATTTTAACTTTTTAATTGACATTTTTCTCTAAATTCTCTAATCAACTACCTACTGAGTCCCACAGCAGACATGTTGTTTCATCCGCCCTCCTTCCTGCCTTATCACATAAACTTCCTGTGTCGTCTGCACAGGTATTTGTCTTTAGTGGACCCGACTTGTAGGGAGGTTGAGGGGGGGCGGGGGGGTGCAAATTTAATATTTTTGCTGTGACATTCTCATGAACACTGTGACACTGCAGTTCCTCTAACGGCCACTAGATGCTGGCCATCGAACAGCTGGTTTTGAATAAATGTAATACGGTTAATATAACTCAACTAGCGTCTTAATAATTCGTTTATATTTTGTAAAAGGACACCTGGCAATACTGCGTTAAGAAACGTGGTCAAATCCCAAAAGTGAACGAGGTCAAAGTTCATTACTTCAGAACAGAAAGTGGACGTTTCGTGTGCTCAAAGTGTTCCTTCGCTAGGCGGCGTGTTGTTCCCCGTTCGGGATCATTAGAGACACAAAAGCCTGCAGCAGCTTCCTGGACGTCTTCACGAGGCCTTTGAGTCGAGTCATCAACAAACGACGCTGCCTCCTTCTTCACGATAAGTTTGTTCTCTCCGCACGCGCACGCACACACGCACACACACGCGCACACACACACACACACACACACCCCTTTCTCTGTCGTTGAGATAACAGGGTGACTCGCTGTGCGCTGACGTCAGCGTGTGCGTCTCACTCGGGCGATTTGCATTCCCTCCTCCCCCCCCGGTCTCTGTTCCAGGAAACTGGAGTGACGTCAGAGCAACAACTATCACCCCCCTCCCTCCCCCCTTGCCCTCCCCCCTTGCCCTCCCCCCTCCCTTTCTGCCTGACAGCAGAGCGCAGCCTGTGTGTGTACCTGTGAATGTGTGTGTGCGAGCGTACCAGCAGGAGACGGACTAACAGGAACAGTTGAGCAAACTAACCGACAGGGTGTTTTTCTCTGGTGTGAGCGAGAGCTTTTCCCTGTGGGGACGCGGGACGGACAAAAAGTCAAAGAAAAAGTCTTTCGGATGTCACAAAGTCTCTGCATCACAAGTCCTGTTCACACTGAAATAAAAACCCCGTCCGCTCACATTTGGAGACGTCCACAGGATCATAAAGCGCACGCTCTGCTTCTCAGCAGGTGGGTGTAAATAAGCTCCTCAAACCCCCGTTTTTTAAAACACAAACACCTCACAGGTGAAATTAAAAGTGACTTTCTGGCCCCGTGGTATAAAAAGAAAAGTGTACCTGACTCTGTCTCATCGCCGTTTACAGCCCATCTCTGGTCTCCAGTAATCCAGCCTCTCGGCACAGCGACACTCTTCTATTCTCACTCTGTTTCGCCAGAGCTTCTCTTCCCCCCCCCTCCTTCCCCTCCTCCTCCTCTTCCTCCTCCTCCTCCTCCCTTTTCCCTCCCAGCTCTCAGCGCGCGTCACACAGCCGTTCGTCTGCTTTGCAGCCCGATTACAATTACAGGCATTGACATCACAATGACGTCACTGCTGCCTGCTGAAGTCAGTAAAACACCCTGGATTAGAGCCCCCCCCACCCCCCCCCGCGGATAAGACAGAGAAGCAGTGACACACAGAGTGAGCTGGGCAGGCAGAGAGGCAGGGGGGGGGAGGGCTTGTATTTTTAGCCCGGGTGACGCAGCCACAGAGGCGCTCAACAAACAGGACGTTGTGTCCCGAGGCAGTTGTGTGGGTTTGATGACGTAGAGGATGAAGATAATGGACGTGTCACAGTATTTGTTCAAACAGTAACGTCACCTGTGGCTGAATTCTGGAGCACGGCAGATATTCCAGCGTTATAAATATTCACTATTTATGGATGCCATGGCAACAAGCAACAGATTAAATAAAAGATGCCTCATTAGCCAAAGAGCTCCAGGTCTTTTCAGAGGTTTTATCAGCTTCAGTTGTGAGGCCTCTGACCCCCTAAAGGTAGGTGAATGAGAGCGGGTGTGTGGGTGTGTGGTTACCCATGAGCCTCCTCTTCACATCAGACAGGCCGGCGTTACTCAGTGTGGCAAATGACCTCTGTGACTTCTCGGATGATCACGACAGAAACGTCTGGAGACTTCCATCACAACCCCCCTCCCCTAAAGATCCCGACCCAACCAGGAAGCCAAAAACATGAGTACTAGTTGACCTTTCTGTAGAAAGCTCTGCCCCCCCCCCCCAGATACTCAGGTAACCAACTTGTGTTCCTGTCCACTGTGGTCAGCTGCCAGCGGAAGGATCAACGCAAACGGCGAGATGAGACACGTTTAAGGCCGCGTGAGAAGAAAGATGTTCTATAGGTTGAGATTGAGTTCATGATTTTAATGTAACGTTGTGATAATTTAATGCACATTTGTACGTTCCAATGTAGTTTAATTGTGTTTGTGCGTATTGTTGTGTTCATAGTTCACACAGAAGGACAGCGGCTGCTTGTCGCTATAAAGCCGTCTGTGGAAACCACACTGACCAATTAGTCCAAGAGGAATACACATGTATTCTGTGCCCCCCCAGGAACAACTGCTGGGGGTTTTCTTCCCACTCTTTAATTCTAGGTTTTAATCCTTTTGTTTCACGGGTTGTTGAACGAACGACTCCACTGTTTTCGCCGGGAATTTAAGCGGCGCGGAGAACGTCACTCCGAATCTCCCCGTTCCAAGTTCCCCCTGAACATGAACGCGTGACAATCCCAGATGCCCCGAGCCCTACCTTGCACCAGCACCTGCCCCCCTTGGATGTAGAACTGCTGCGGGGAGTCTCCGGGCTGAGCTGCACACTGCAGGATGGTGGCTCCGTGCTGGGGGGCGTGAGAGCCGCCCACCGTCATGGTCTGGGCCCCCTGGAAGGCTTCCATCCCCGGGCCCGTCAGCTGCACGGCTCCCCCGTGAGTGATGGCGACTGTGTGTGGAGGGGGGGGGGGGTCAAAGGTCACCGGTAAGCAGGTGTGTTTCGGGTTCACGAACGTTTCACACGTGAGTCCCGTAACTGGTCGTCATAAAGTCACACGTTCTCTGGCAGCTAATCAAAGTCACTCTGCTGTGTTTTCAGATCAGAGGTTCACGCGTGTACTGACTGTATTGTCCCGAGCTGGTCTGGTAGATGGAGGTCGGCACGCTTGCCGAGGCGGCACTGGAGACCGGCACCTCCTCTTCTTCCTCCTCCTCCTCTTCATCCTCCTCCTCCTCGCTCATCTCTTCGTCGATTCTAGCAGCTGCCCGAGAATCCGATGAGAGCTCGTTCAGTATTTTTTTGCGGGAGAGAAGAGATCCACAAAGTGATTCCACGCGGCCGTCTTATACTTCATACAATAATAACGATATTGTCTTCCCTTAAATGTGTTCTAGTGATAAAGTAACAATCATAGTCAAGTAGATCCCAATCAAGAGGAGATGAAGAAAGAGAATAAAAGACGTAAATACCCACAATAGTCCTATTTATACATTTAGTCCCCCCCTCATTTTCGTATTATTTGACCTCCGGCGGTGAAGCGCGTGCCGAGTATCTTTTAACCGTGCACTTGTTTACTGTTGACGTCTCCTCACCGATAAGACGGGCGCCTGGAGAGGAGGACGCGTCTCTTCTGGCTGTCGGTGACCGACTCGTCCTCGTCCAGCTCGGCCACGGTGCCGATCTGTGACAAACAACCGGCACCAAAAGAGCTGTTAGATGTTAGCGGGGGGCGGGGGGTGGGGGGGGTGGTGGTGTGAAAGAGAAGAAGAATGACGTCAAAGAGGGACTTTGAGCGATGATCCTCCTCCCACGTCCAGCAGTGAGTCTCTGCAGGGTTCCACACGTCCTGCGGTGACGTGCACGTTAACGTCCTCCTTCGGCGGCGTGAACGAACAGGCTCGCCTTGTCACTCACGCACAAACGCCTTTTGTTGGAACGATTGAGCGGCGTGAATTTGAAGCCGGCTTTCATGAGTGGCGGTTGTGCGTTACCGACACAAAAGGCCTCGATGGACCCGCGAGGAGACACTCGGTCTACTTACGGACAATAATGTGAAGTTGGGGTTATAAAAGCAGCCGAAAGGACTTCACGTCAGAAATCAACACCTCGAATAAACGGGCTCAATCTGAACGTTTGCGTGGAGAAGAACAGTGACGCAGGAGATTTACTGTTACGGAGCTTTGAAATCAGGTAACAAAACCACTTTGTGGTCTCGTGTGTCGTCTCACCGCTCGCTCTCCTGACCCATTTCTGCAGAAAGACACTTCAAGCGAGTAAAAACCTGCTAGCAACTCCACCTGCACCACCCGCCGCCGCGCATTCATCTGATCTAAAGGACATTTTGCCCCACTAGTGCAGAGCACGCTGAAACATCTGCCCCCCCCCACACACACACACACACACACACAGGTTGTCCGATGTGTAACCGGATCCCGGAGCAGTCCCAGGTTAGACTGATGGGCTTAAACCTCGGCTCGTACCGCTCACACAATCCTATTAAGAGATGCACAGCCGCCTACACGCGGCGCCTGAATCACACCCTCTGACATCACCGCCCCCCCCCCTCGGTTTAGTCTCCTTCATTAAATCTGACTAAACGCTCACACGCTGGAGCCAACGGCAGAATAAGAACATTTTTATTACTTTCTACTTGGGCTCTGAACACATGAGACTCGTGGGTGATTTGAGACTCTGATAGAATTAATAAATGATTTTTTTATCTTAGATACAACAGATTTGACGTGAACTGACTTGAGAAATTACCAGATTTATTTCTTATTTGAATTCATGCCGTCTGCACTCAAGATGCTTACGCACCGGCCAGTTCCCCCCCGGTTTTAGGGGAGAAGTACAAAAGACGGCAGCGAGGCCATCCCGTGCACTCACCTGGACGGTCTGCAGGTGGGGCGACTGGATGACGGAGGTCTGGGGGGCCTGGATGACCCCTTGGAGCTGCACGGTCTGACCGTCGCACTCCGCCGCCGCCTGCGCGGTGCGACGGAAGGAAAGAGACCTTGTTATCTCACATACAGACACGGCGTCTCCGTCCTCCGCCCCGTTAGGTGGAGCTCTCGCCCCAACGCGGCGAGCATACCTGAGGACTGCCTTCGCTCCGGTTCTCCTCTCCGTCCGTCGCCAAGCCGTTCAGACCGCCGTCCGGGCGCGGCGGGGCCGAGCTTTCCATCGCCAGTCGCCTGGACGCACGCGCTGACCGGTTGGATGCCGCTTCCTTCTCCAGAACCTTCGTCAGACATCACAGCGTTACCGAAGATCTGCCCCCCCCCCCCCATAACGTTTATATATTCTTAACCTTTATTCCACTTTAAAGTATTTATTGAAGTGCGGTTTGATAGAAAGTTGAATCTGTCACATTGAGGTTCTAAATGTGTGGAACGTTTAAAGTTAAAAACTCATGATGATGTTTTTCTACAGTAAGTGAAAAAGATGAAAAACTCTGATTTTTGTACAGTGGCGGTCGGCTAGCGAGTCAAAATTATCAGTGTGAAGATCTCTGTTGGCAGGGTTTCTTCATCCAGCATCAGGACAAATGAATTACAGAACACTCCATTACTCACGCTCTTTGTGTGTGTGTGTGTGTCTGTGTGTGTGTGTGTGTGTGTGTGTGTGTGTGTCAGCCTGAACTCCCATCAGCACGTATTCACACTGTTACAGACTCGGTTTAATGGATTCTAGATGCTTTCTGGCAAAGAAGAAAAGATGCAAAATGACAGGAGAGAAAAGTGCACATCTGAATACACACGTCTTCACACGCTGGTTTGAACCAGAGGAACAAAAGATGTCATTGAACCAGAGGCCGAGGAGCTCTGACCGGGTGACGTCACATTCTCCTGCAGATCACAGTGCACGTTCTATGTTGTGTTGTGAGGGCCCCTGCAGGGCCCCTGTCTGAGGGAGATTAGCTGCAAACACACATATCAAAACGCAACGGCGTGCACATTATCTGCGACTGGAAGAGAGACGTCCAAGTGCGGAGTGTCCTCCTCATTGTGCACAAAACCCCGAAAGTGTCCGAGCAGAGGACAACGTATATTGTCATTTAATAATTGCTCTCTATAACACAAAGTCGTAAACACATTTCTCACAGAAAGTTTAAGGACTCTCTCTCTCGCTCTCTCGGGCAACAGAAAGCCCGCTTAGATTTTTTTTTCCATGTTGATTTATTCAAAAAAGGCCGTAAAGGAGAATCTGACTTCCGGCTTTTTAGCCGCCCGATACAACGTGAAAATGAAGCTGTCCCATCGCTTCCCCATAACGTTTCATATCAAGACGTTTCATTCAGAGGGTATAGTGTTTTATCATCGCAACCGACGAGTAAATAAATCACATATTTAGGAGGAATTAAGAGAAGAAAAAAAATGAAGCATTTGTTTTTTTCAAACGTATCACTTTTATTCTGAAGGCGCGCCCGTTCGATCAAACTTCTTACGCCGCCCGTCATTAACGTCCGACTTGACGCAACTCCGTAAACTTCAACGAGAGAAGAAAAAAAAAGGAACTGCCTCCTCTACAGCCAACCGTCAACTTTCCCCCTTCGGTTTCTTACACGCCCCGTTATCGATCGGCTGATTCGCCGTCTTTCTGTTTTGCAAAAAAAAAGCAAAAACTTTTAAAAAGAGCGGCTCGGCCCCGCGGACGCTGTCCCGCTCGCTCGAGTCCCTCGAGTCGTCCCGACTGGCGCCGAGCGGCGACGCGACGGCTTTGAAGGCGACTTACCGAAGTTTTACGTAGTCGGACTCGTGACTAATTACAGCATGGGTTGGACGGCCTCGCGTCTCCGCTCACGTAGTCACACGTAGCTCTCACGTCAGCGCTGATGATGCTGTGCCGAAAATGTCGACCCGACGGGTCAGTTTAAGGTCGAAGAGTGCGCAGGCGGAGCGAGAGGATGCATCTGCGGGCACTTCCGGGTTCGCTTTGCGCGGCGTTAAAACGACCGGCGGCCAGAAACGTCTTTCTCTGAGCATCGCGAATCCTAATAGGGGCAAACAAACATATAATTTAAATACATGGATTCATACATACGGTATATACATGTATTATTTTAAAGATATTTAATTATCTGCTGAACAAAACCAAGCACGTTGAGCAGTAGGTTTAACCAAAGTTCACCTAAACTGCACACGGTGAGCTTATCCGTACGTTTTAGTGTCTTATATGAATATAAAATAAAGATAAGTATCTTAAAATCACATTGCGTCAAATATAAGCCTTGCAACGTGTCAATGATTTAAAAAAAGGGTATTTAAATAGTCAAACTACATTTGAACAATACAGGTCGATTTAAGTTGGCAATAATATGTCTTAGAAGACGTTCTTCAGTGAGGTAGTCATTTTCTAATTCAGTCATGGATATTTTTCAGTTTTTCTGGGACGAGTCACGTGTTTACAGACAACAGTTAATGTCGCCATCTGCTGGCTGACAAAAGCGCTTTAAAATTTAACAGGATCGATTCATTCAAAACATTATATGTACTGTATATATATACAATGTACAGAAACAATAATATGTATTTTTACGCCTGAATACAGATGAAGTCTACTTCCAAAAGTACACAATCACCACCTTGTATTATGAATATGATCATTTTAAAAGGCTGAAAAAAAGGCTTGAAACATAGTAAATAATATAGTGAAATGAAATATAGTATTTCAAGCCTTTTGACACAAATATATATATATATATATATATATATATATATATATATATATATATATATATATATATTTGTGTCACACTCCCTGTGTGGCAATTCCTCTCATGTTAAAGAGTGTCCTGTGGAATCTGTTGTGTACTTGCTAGATTGCTTTATTTATATCCGAGCCACCATCTGTCCCCCTGCATGCCAGGAGAGGTCGTCCCGTTCAGGCCCCCGCTGTCATCAGAGAGCGCTGCTCCGCGTGGCCGAGTGCCCTCGATCTGCCAGAGCCGGACGAGGAAGGCCCTCGGTCAGCAGAAAGGCATCGTGCTGTCCTCCCGGCGCTGAGAGTACCGATGGTGCAAGAGTTCGATATGCTCGCATTGTGTTTAAGTAACGAAAAAAAGGGAATCTCTGTCTCCAGTATTGGTGGAGAAATGTTCCTCCGATCTTTGTATTTTTTCAAATTAAAGGGGAAACTTTTCAATAGATGTGCCCTCATTGCTCCTCACCCTTTTGTGCTTGAGCTTGGCATTTTTTCACATAATGCTTTTTTATTGAAAACGGCCCCCCCCCCCCCCCCCTCTTCCTCCTCTTCCCCCTCTTCCTCCTTGTCCCCCCTCCCCCTGGTCAGAGGATGGAGGCTCCAGATGGAGGAGTACCAGCAGCAGAAGGTGGACCCTCCAGAGAGGAGAGGGGGGGGCTCACCAAGGCCTGACAGCAGGGGGCCATGTGATGAGCCAAACATCTCTTTAGCACTAAATTAGCCCGGGATGAACGCGAAACACGCCGACATGCTGGTAATTACCAACAAAGACGTGTTTGGCCGTCTGTTCGCTCCCTTTGCAGCTTAACACACACAATTAATTCACAGTCCAAAATCTCCCAGAGGTCAAGCTGCTCTGACCCCCCCCCCTCCACCCGCCACACTCCCCCTCACACACACACAGACTCGCTTGACTTCATAAAGCACAAGTTATTAGATGTGTCAGCTAAAAAACAGTCTGCTCTTTTTTGAGAGGTTAAACGAAGTTAATAGCACCGAGAAAAGAGTGTCGCTCCACAAGAGGTCAGTATTGATTCAAATATATCAGACACAAACGCCATATCTGACAGGAAAGAAACACTTTTTGATGATAAATAGAAATATAAAAGAGAGTTGAAGAGCTTTTAATATTTCTGGCATTCTGAAAAAGCCGCTAAAACCTTTTATCCATTTTTTTTTCAACCGTTTTTCTTCGTCATAAAATATGCAGCTGAGATGCAGTTGAAAACTCGCGAGAAAAATATGTTTATTTCATTTTTTTTAAACATTTTTTGTGGAAAAAATCTTTATGACAACAAAACAAATAAAAATAAAGATTTAAAAAATATATATTTTTCAAATTTTTCTTCTCTCTTGTATATGCTGATTATTTTGTATTTGTTGAGGTAAATGTCTCCGTTGTTCTTTAGAGTAAAAAACAAACAACAAATTGTGTCTCCGATGGCCCTGAGGTGTCAAACCTCAGGGCCATCGGAGACACACTCGTAAACCACTCGCAGTCTTGACCTTTGACCTCCCTTCTTCACGACCACAACAACTGCTAAAGTCTGAAAGCTGTAAAGTCAGCTGTGCTGCTGCAGCCCCCACAGGACTCCCACGTCACTGAGAACAGACCAGTCATGATGCCCCCCCAGGTGTGAATGCACGTCCCCATCAGCGAGTGAGCACTGGGAACCAGTGCTCACGTTCTCCTGAACGGAGGCCGTTTGATGCGTTGTGGCGGCTGGCCGGGCCTGCGAGCGCTCCAGCTGTGGTAAAATAGTCCCACACAGCTGCATTAAACAGGGGAGACACACTTTACTCTAAACACTGTGTCTCTCCTCTCCCTGTGTGTTCTCAAACCCGTATACGGTTTGAACTAACATTATATGAGATTCACCGGCAGGTGGACGTTTCTTTGGGCCCACGAGGTCCGGGTGCAGAGAGAGTTTGGTTCACTTTTACAAACCTGGCTGCAACAATGGACTAAAATAGGAAAGGAGCGAGTGAACAAGAAGCCCTGTGGCTTTTAAACAAGTGATGGCGTATCATTAACTGGAGTATAAATCTATGAATATATCGTTATAGAATGAGGGAGGAATAAATATAGGCCTATAAAGGAGACCTCTCGTGGTATTTAGCCCACATCACTGTGCTCGAGGACTGTAATTACCTTTGAAGTTTGTCCCATTAAATATCCTCTAATCCGAATTCTAACCTTTAACTCAAACCCTAAAGAATGAGAATCTGACTCTGGTTTCCACTTAATTCTCCCGGTGAATACAAATTAACCAGAAAATAAAAAACAAGTAAGTAATGTAGATATGAAACAACTATACAATTAGACATATATATAACACAAATATGAATAAAAGGAGGAGGACTTTAAGCAACTTTAATAATCATTTTATTTTTGAACCACTGCTCCCCGCGCGCCAAACCTCACCCGTCATGACTGCAACTGTGGCCCTCCGCGCGCCTCCGCTGCATTCACGTACCGCTCGTAAACGCCATCCTCAAATCTTGAAAGTGCCAAAAGAGTGTTTTTAAAAGTGTCAATAAAAACTTGCTCACGGATCAGAAAGTACAGATAGCAGATCTACTTAATGCTGCAGCGACGCAGCTGCCATGGAACCGACTAGTAATAATAATACAAAGGTTTGTATGCGGCTTTAAAGTGTACATGTTCTACATGGTTAAAACATAAATGGGGATGTTTTTCCTTAAAAAAGCTACAGAAAGTTATTTGATGCATACTTGAATAATTGACAGATTTGCAGGTGATTAAAATGTAGTATCATAAAACTAAACATATTTATTGCATTATATCCCAGGCATACTTTTTCTAAGGGGTTTAACTTAACAAACACTGCAATAAGACTTTCTATTTTTATTTTTACCCAAATCTGAGAGGAAAAAAAAAATCAGGTGAGCAAAAAGAACCGTGGTTGATGACCACGAAGCTACATTTTCATTTAATCTGGTCACAAAACCACCTGTGGACTGGATGTATTCTATTTATTTTCCATTAAACTCAGTGTTTTCCCATGGTTTACAACCTCAGGGAAGGGGGAGGCAAACGGATCGCCTGACTTGGGTGAGGGGGTCTCTTTCTTCGCCTTACTGATATTTCACTCGCTTTTGATATAAGTTGGGACTCTTCTTGCTCTATGTAACTCGCTCTGGACGTCGAGAGGCAACATTTCCCGACGCACCTGAACGCAGCATGCGACCGAGCATTAGCTCCGCGTAGAGGACCCGAGAGAGGGAAGAAGGGAGAGAGGGAGAGAAGGAAGAAGGGAGAGAGAGAGAGAGAGGGAGAGGGAGGCCAAACAGGTGGTCTGGAAACACACAGAAAACAATGTCGCCCGGCGGGGAGGCGCGGAAAGACTTTTAGTCCCCGCTCTTCCTGAAGGAATACCGGGACAGTCGCGGAGAAGCCGAACAAACGGAACAACCCATGCTCCGCTTTTATCTTCGCACGGGTTCCTCCTCCTCCTCCTCCTGCTGCTCGGCTTGAGCTCCGAACCCCGGCCGGACCGCGGAGCCCGAAGCCATGAAAGTCACGGTGTGTTTCGGCCGGACCCGGGTGGTGGTGCCGTGCGGGGATGGGAATATTAAAGTCCGCTCGCTCATCCAGCAGGCGGCCATGAGGTACAAGAAGGCTATCGCCAAGGTGAGCGGCCGATACTTTTTATGCCTTTTGCTGTTCATTCTGTTCGTTGTTGCAGCTTTTGTGGTCCTGGAAACAATGCTGCAACCTACTCACACACACGCTTGAGGTTTTTTCTTTCCTCCGCGCGCACTCAACATGGCGCTAACTTTGAGTTTGACGCAAAGAGGGAGCGGGGCAGCAGCCCGTCGTCTGCTGCTTCGGGCTCCCGGCGCACAGTCGGCTCGCCACTCTTTATAAGAAAGACGCACCGCCATTGTGCTGCTTGTGTTTGGGGGGAAAAAAGCCCCCAAAGTTCCTCCGGGTATCGGCGGGTTGGTTGCACCGTAGACTCGTAACAAAGGATATTTTCCTTTTTTGGGACGCACACACACACGCACGCGCGCGCACAAGGACACGTTGGAAAGTGTCGGTGGCCCAGCGGTCGGTGGGACCTCGGTCCGTGCCTCCTGGAGAGCTTAGCCTGGTAGCGGAGTTAGCCGACCGGCTGCACAAGTGGGGGGGGGGGTGAGGCGTTCAGGCTCCGGCGCAGAGCAATGCGATGCAAGAGCGCCATCCGCTCAGTCCGCGCTCCCGTTTCACCGCGTGCACGAAGGAGGGAAAACACCAGAAAGGTTCCCTCGTTGGGATGGAAGCAGAGACACGCGATGGGGCGTTCAGGTTCCAGCAGTGATGCCTTCAAATGCAAGAAGAGGAAGAGCCGCAACACCGGCCCTTTTAATAATAATAATATTAATACAGTTGAGTCCAGCTGACTGGTGGACTTGACACACAAATCTGAGGAGATAAAAGTCAGACTCTGGTGAAGTTGTAGCAAGAAGGTCGAGTGGCAGCAGATAACACATGAATCATCTCGGTGCTTCACGTGCACATCCTCTGCATCAGATGAGACTGGAAGCATTGGGAACAATCTCTTGTCCTCTAAATGTTTCAGCAAATCAAAGGAGAAAACTAAGTTTTTTTTATAATTCATGTTTTGGAGGGAGGTTGTTGTTCAGCCGTCGTTTAGGGTCCCAATACGCGACCGCATAAAGGGTGAATAATTGAATGTGCTGTAACTTGTTTGCAATGAGAGGGACCCAGAAGTCGGCCTGATCCCTGGCGTCGCTGTGAAGAATTCAGAGGAGCGCAGGCAGGTGCACAGCTGCTGAAGGTGGTAAGAACTCTCCTCTGACTCCATGGTTCTATTCTAACTTTTCTTCTAAAGATTACGACACAAAACCCCTCACACATTCAGCTTTGAACCAAAATACGAAAAAACACAAACAACACCCATGACATTTAATCTGCTCATATCTGTGTTTATGGCCCAGGTCCCACCCTGCGTACATTTCATTCTTCCTCTCACAAACTCGTCACATGATGATTGCAGCCCCCTTTTTGCTCATTAAGAAGACCCTGAGTCATCGGGGAGGGTCGCTTCCTGCAGATGAAGCTTCTGAGCGGCTCTATCGGCTCTAATCGTCACTCTAACTCTAAGATCAGTGTTTGTCAGGGAGGAATCTGAACATCTGGAGAAGTGTAACTGCTGCAACCTTTCCCTCTGATCACAGGGATTCAGATTCTCGACCCGTTTTGCCTCGGCGTGGCAGACCTTTTTTTAAAAAAATAACACCCTTTGACTGGAAAAAAAAAAAAAAAAAACCCGCCCGGCGGCTTAATGCCCCGAACGCACAGGCGGGGCCCCCGAAAAACCACCAGAGCTTCTCTTTTAGGACTTGCTCAGAAATCCTCGGATGACGTCAGACGTCTGGATTGTTGTTCCGCACGCCGGAGTCTCCTCCTCCTCCTCCCTCGCTTTTCAGCGCTGGTGTTGAAGCAGAACATGTGGAGACGTACAGATGTTCTCCGCAGCAGGATCCTTCAGCCGTGGCTCAGGACATCATTCAATCCATCGCACAAATGGCTGTTATTAATTAGCGTGCTGCAGCCTTTGATGGCTGTGTGTGTGTGTGTGTGTGTTGTGGGATTCGAGCGCTGCCGTTACTTCCGTGCGGATTAACACTTTCGCCACATCTTCAAAAGGAAAAAGCTCCCACTTTTCAAGGTGGCCCCAGTTCAGTTGAAAAGAGCGACGTAATTGGGAGCATGAATGAGACGATAAACTGGATGTGATAAAGATGAGGGGTCATAGTGCCGCACGTCTGTGGGGGCCGAAGGGCGAGCATAGAGAGTTATGTTTTATTGTTGTATAACACGCCCTCTTCAGACTCCGAAAGCAGTGATTGTGCCCTCGTTGGTCCTAAAAGTCACTTTGTTCAAACGTTGCAGAAGAGACTCCGTCTTCTGTTGATGTTTCTTTTCTTCGTCACCATCTTGGATTTGGTCAAAACTCCGTTAACAGAAGCCGCTATTTTACCGCATCCACTCCAACTCAACAAAATAAAACTTCTCATAACCGTGTTTCTGCTGTTCCAAAACTCACCAGCTTGAGTTTGAAAGAGAATAAATGAGATACAGATTTTGACAAAGATGTGACCACTGACATCTTCAATATTTACTAATCCTGCTGAAGTACCGACCGGCTTCATCCAATCACGTTCCAGTTCCTCTGTTTGATGTCACCAGGCTCCACCAGCCGAGGGGGGGGGGGGGGTCACGGTGGCGGATTAAAAGCTTCGCCGATGATCCCCCGGGCCGCTGACTTTGCCCTTGACCAAAGCGGCTGTAAAACACGACCCGGCTCCGGGTTCCGTTCCCTAAAGGAGCGCGTTAAAGAGCCCAATCGGCCCCGTGAGGAGAGACGATTCATGATGCTTCAAAAAAACGGCGGCTTGGAGCCTCTTTCCTCCTCAGGACGTGACTTGCTTTTTCCTTTTCTCTCTCTACTGTTACGACGACGACGGCAAAAACGCGTTTCCCACAGTCCCCCTGCGCTGCCGGTGCGTTTTTTGACGAGTGGTTTATTTCCGTTCCAACTCGTGAGTGACTTGAGACTCGCTCGTCCCGGAGATGCTAATTTGTAACTTTGAGCCCTGCTTGCAGATGTTTATGTACGAGTTCCTGTCGAGCTGCACCGAAGACCCCGACGCCCCAAAGCGGGCAGAAGCGGCACTTTCCAGCGCGGGAGCCGAGCGAAGCGTGGAAACGCGCGGCCGCTAGTCTGCCGCGCGTCCTGCTGCCTCCGTCAGGGTTTCCAGACTGCATCGGGAGTCTGGCAGCCCGTGAGTGTTTAGTTTAACGTGACGTCTTTGAACGCAGCAGCGAGCCAGGCTGAGTTCCTGTGTTAGTTGGTTAATTATTATCGTCCCCAACACCGATCAGTGTAGCGCCACAAAATGCAACAATTACTGACACCTGAGTTTAAGCACACGAGACTGCAAAGGTGTTCTGTGATGCAACACGTTGCAAACTGAACCCTTGACCTTGATGGGGTGGTTATAATCGACCAGCGTTAATGAGAGCCCAGATAATAACCCTTAATCACACAAAGGGGCTGACGTGGTTTACAGGGGTCTATGAAACCAGACCACTTGAACCCTGCCGTGGATCCGGCCCACAGACACCAGACTGACTGACTGACGGACGGACGGAGTATTTTTGGCTGATGGGTGCCTCAAGTTATCACCGGCACTTGAAGTTCTTTACGATAATGCTCTCGTCACAGGGTGGCGTTTCTGGGGTCAGCCCCCCCCCCATCTTCCGTCTCCACACACTCGGCTGTAGAATTTCTTTCATAAACCGAGGAAGCTCCTGGTTTAGAGAGAAAGGCTCAGGATCAGGGTTTTTGTTTTTTATGGTCCAGCGACGTTCAGCTGGAGGCCGTAGTTTATTTATGAAAGAGATCCTCTGCGTGTTTTCCCAGAAGTGGGGGGGGTGGTGGATGCTGAGAAGAACTTTTCCCGCAGAATGGCATCATTGTATAAACCGACCACAAGTGTGAGTTCACGCCGACGGCCCCACCCGGGGGCCACGAGCGCCAGAAAACACGGCGCGCCGTAAAAGCGCCTGGGCCACCACCTCCGTGGAAGTCGTTGGCCATTCGAGCGGCGCTGCTGGAGAACAGCGTCACCGCTTGTGTCGGGAACACTGCGACGTATTCATGCACGCGCTTTTTGTCCCCCCCCCTCCCCCCCTCCGAACTCTGTTCACGTCCGCTCAGGTTGAATTTACTCAGCAGTCTTGTGGCAACATTTAAATCGGCCCAACTGGTAGTTACAGTAAGCCGGCCAACAGCAACTGGACCAGTCATCAACTTTCTCTCCCAGAATGCTGGCGGAGGCTCCAAAGCCCCGACGTCGTCCCGGAGGAACAATGCTTTGGGTTCCTCTGATCCCCTGTTGGCTGTAAACCGTCTTCTTGTACAGCCACAGTGCCACCGGTCCAAGGACCCAAAGGTTTAAAATAAAGACACGCCGATGATGATGATGCCGGTCGGGTATCAAATACCATTATTTGAATGAATAACATTAGTTGTGTATCTTGTTCCCATCGGCTGTAAACAAAACAAATTCAAGCTTTTTATAGTCCGTGAAATGACCGCTCGGCTCGTTCCTTCGGCCCGTTTAATGAATGTGCGCTTGTTTTCCCCACGCAGAGGTCCCTCCCGTCACAGGCGCAGTGTCCCTTGGACAGCGGCTGGGAAGTGAAGGACTGTGTGTGCGCGGCACAGGGAGAGGATTGTCTCAGAGGAATGTCAGGACACCTGAACAAACAGCAGCGCTGCTTGGGTGTCTTCTGTGTCCTCCCCCCCGGTGCGGCCTGGAGATCTTATTGCGTTTTGGGACGTCTCACTTCTCCTCTGGTTTCGTCCCACCGCCCAGAGCTGGTTGTTCTTTGCTGTATCTTCAGCTCAGGCCAACCAGCCCCCCCCCCCCCCCCCCCCTCAATGCGGCCCAGCCAACATTTTTTGACAGTGTCTACGCTCGTAGGAGAGAAAAGCACATGCTGCAGAGGACGCGGAGCCACATTAGCAAAACCCAAATGATTCATGAGCGCAGATTAATGGTGTCTCCTGAAATTGAATTCGGTACTTTGGCTGATGAGGCTTTGTCTGCTAAATA